ATTATACAATACCTCATTACCGTAGAATTTGATTCAATATTTTTATTGGCCATTATTTATCATGACGTAGTTAAATCCATATTTTTAAAATTCAGTAAAAAAATGAAGTAAAAATTGACAAAGATGAAAATAATTAATATTATTCTAAGCTCCATTTAGATTATGAATTAGTATTAATGGAACAGTCTGTGGAGTTTTATAAATTACTAAAAAATAATTAATTAACATTAAAAAATTGCTTTTTTATAAGAATTTAACATATAAAATTATTTTTTATTTTTTAATATAAATATTTCTTTAAATTTATTCATTTATTTTTAACCATTCAGTGCCATTATTTTTGTTTTTCTTCCGATTTTCTTATTTGCATTACAAAAAATTGTTCTAATACATAAATTAAAAATAAATTTAAATCACCATTGCATTGCATTCATAGTGAAATTTTACTACTACATATTAATGCTTGCCACTTCGGTTTTGAAAATTGTGAACATTATAAATTTAAATTAATTATCCACAACGGATATGATTGTAATTCTTTTTATCCAATTTACTATCAAACAGCAAAAAATAGAAAATGAAAACAATATGCATGCTTGATTCTTTTACAAAACTGTAAAAATTTCATCCTACGCTCCATAAACAGGACTGAATCTTTAATTTTCCCTTTTTTTTATTGTTACGTTTAAAATGTCTCTAACTTGCATCATTCTTAAGTTTGAGAGTTTGCGTCAGTGCATGGAAACGAGCTGCAGATGGTACTTGAAATATCAGTGGCGCGCTGGAGAGAGATATTTCAATGACGGATCATAACATTGGCATTAGCCAAGCGAGGAAAAATTTACACCGGTGCGGCTGCTGGACCGAAATATCGCGAGGAAATTGCAACACGCGCGCGTTGGTAATGGATACGGGGTGCACTCGCGAGAAAAGCCGCGCGACACAAGCGGCCGAGTGAGGCAATTCGCAGCTGACATTTGATTAAAACACAGTGAAAATAGACTCGGACGGGCGAGCAAAGAGCAAAGCGTCTTCCTCGGCAAATTAATTGCAGCGCCGATCGAGAGAGCGCGTGTTTTGCTGTACAATGTGTCGCCGCGGCCGCCGCCGGCGCGTGGGACGCGCCAATTAATTTACCTGACTTATTATATATTATCATAATCGCGCTCAAAAGTGCGCTCTGCTTATTTATTGTGACACACACACGCGCAGATGCGCTCGCATAAATTAGAAATTTCTTGCTTACATTTGCTGCTAGACTAATCGCGTCCCACAATCAGATATTAAAGGTTACGAAACGCTCTGGCGCGCTGCGCTGATGTTCCAGATCGTATCGGATTTCAGATTTGTATTCCACGCGTTTCCACTCAAAACGAACCAACACTGGAAAAATAATGTAAAGTGTTGAGAGCTGCACTCGACTATTAATTTTTTAGCTTTTTCCCTTCTTGCTCTGATCAGAATCGGGGCTTTGGAAAAGCTATTCATCAGCCACTTGAGAAATTTATGGCTAATAAAATTATCTCTTATTTATTGTCTTTATTTGTTTATTTCTCCTGCAATTTAGATTATGTAAATATACATTTTTTTTAAATTATCTGAAATTTATTTGATTAAAAATGTAATTTTTAAACTTAACATTTACAGTTTAACAGTTTGAAACAAATTTAAAAGCTAAAATTACGCCCAAAAAGAAGACAAAAAAATTTAATTCAATGAAGTATTTAAAATTACTATCTTGTTCTAATCTTGTCTTTATCTTCAACTTCCATTATTTTTATTCTTCAATTTTATATTTATTTTGCAAAAATACATAAATTAATAAAAATTAAAATACTCCTGTAATTTCTTTTATTTCAAGCATCATAAAACATGATTTTATTTTTCTCCGAATAAATGTCTCTTGTCAAAAGGGTTCAAATTTTATAACGATTTCACCAATTGACTTAAAGCAAAAGACTTTTCCTCTGAGTGCAAGGCCAAGTTTGAGTGGTGCGCGCCGCGTAAATATGCAATTTACGACCTCCATTTAAGCAGGGTAATGATTGAATTCATCGCCCACGACACATACGCACACCAGATAAAAAGAACACCACAAGAAACAATATAACGAAGGCTTACATGTTTTACAAGCAACTTTGAAGCTGCTTATTAAAAGCAAGGTTTATTGCGCGATAAAAGGATTAGTGAGCTGCCGAGACTGCAATAACAGAAATAGATAAAATTTTTACGGCTGCCGACGATGACAATTTTTATATATTTTTCCAGCAGAGCCGAGGAGCGAACAGTAGGGTGCCGAGCGCCGAGACCAAATTAAACACGCGTTATTTTCAATTATCAAGTTGTGCTGCCAGCAAATGAAAATTGCTTCATTTTCCTCGCATAGCCATAAAATTAATTCGAGTTATTGCCGTGTGCATCATACAGACGACAACTCGCCCCCGTCCATTTACTTGTGGTTGAATTTTTTCTTTTTCCTGTGGTAAAAATCAAATAATTTGCAGATCGTTTGGCTGAATCTGTGGGAATTAAAATTATTTTTAAAATTATATACAGCCAGCAAAAAGAGCTGTAGTTAAATAGGAGTAAAAAAAAACACAAAAATATTTTGTACAAATTTCATTAAAAAATTGAAAAAAATTATTCAAATTAATTATTTTTGAAATTTGAAGCCAAATTATAATCATAAGAAATCATATTTTCTTATTTCTCTTTTCTTTAAAAATCAGTGCCGTGATAAATGATCAAAATTGTCAATAATTATATTAACTTTTAAAATAATATTTTGTAAAATTATGTTGTAAAATATAGATTGCTTAAAAATTACTTATCCATAAGTTCAACTTAAATCAATTCTTAAAAGCCACTTATGTACATTGCATTATTATGTCCTACACTTGTGCATAATAAATATTTGATGTTGAAAAGCCGCGCATTTGTCAGAAAAAGAAACTTTTTGCAAGCCAAAAGATATTTTAAGTTTTTATCAAAGCACTTTCATGAATTTATTAAGCAATTCATTTTCATTAAAACATCACATTTTATTTTATTTTAGAATACCGTTAAAGGCTATAAGAATTTATTATTTATTGGTGTGCCAATTTTTTAAACCAGTTCCATTAATCAAGCTGCTTTAATAATATAGGTCCAAATTTGTAATTAGGAGAGTCTTCTTTTGAAGCCTTTAAGAATATTAAAATAAAGAGCACGTCAAAATCTGTAAAGAATAAGTCTCTTTTTTGGTGCCGACCTGGACTTGTCTGTGAGACAAAACAACAATCTCTCCTTATTTGTCTTCCCATCCTTTCTCCGTTTCAATCATAATATTAGCCTGGTTCTCTTCGCGGACTTCAATCTGGTTTTTGACAAGATGAAACCAACAATGTCTTTGCTCTTCACTCGTGTGCGGCGCATTTACTCATTTGCAACATCTCTGAAAATTTCTCATTTTTTTCGCCTTGATGACGCGCAAATTTTATTATTTTCTGACGCTTTACGAGGCAAATTCGTTAAGAGCACGATTTTTTTTTATTCATATTGGACTGTAAAAATATGCCATTTCAAAGTCATCAATTTTGCGACCCCGAGAGTCGGCGTCGTAAAGCGCGCCGCGGGTCTTTCAGCCGCCGCGCCGAGTGGAAAAAAAATGTTAATGTTGGGAGACCGACTTACTTAAATGCAGCAATTTAACCCCGTTGTTAATTTAGCACGCGGAGAGTCAGTCGGCCGCGACACGCCGCACACAGACTCCTCCCCAATAACCATCTTTGTGTCCAATCAACAATCAGTCCTTGAGTGCAACAATCCAAGCGGATAAATCGTGACCTCGCCGACGAATGTTGCATTGGTTCGATTCACAAAGGGTTATGGTGCACCGCGAAAGGTCTGTTCTCAGTCAGAGTCATTCAGTAAATTAACCTCCGATGAATGATCAGAAAAAAAGATGAGATGCCTATTTAAAATTTCTGCGTAATTTGGTCAATTAAATTTAATCCTATTAGGAATCAATTTAAAACTCTATTACAAAATTCGCAATCTTAGAATTTTCTATAGATTATTGATAAATTTGCAATTTTCAGACTTTAAATAATTTTCAAATATCCACACACACAAATTTCATGTTCAGGATTTTGTTTTAATTGAATTTTCAATATTCTAAGTGGGTAATTTATCATGAATTAGTCAATTTTGGTATCACTAAATGTTAAAAATTACAAATTTACAAAACAAAATGTAGCAATAGTCAAATCTGGCAATTATTTTTAATCATTACAACAATTTATTCTGTTTGTTAAAATAAAGCTTATAAAAGGAGAATAATTTATATATTTACAACCAATATTTTTTTAAATAAGTAGAATTTCAGATTTAAAGTAAAATATTTTGAGTAACTCTTGGCAATTCTTAACTGACTGTAAAATACAAGGTCATGAGTCATGATATAAAACAATAACTTGAAAATCAATATTTAAATTTTCAAGACCCACTCCATTGGAAGAATTAACATTAGTGATATATCCAATACGGAACTTTTTATGCTGCATATTTTTAAAATTGGTGAAGTTGGTGAGTGAAGATCCCAGTATGAATAAAAATAAATCTGGTCCTTGCAAATCCCGATTGTAGAGTAGGCTATTTTAAGAGAAATTTATCACAGAATGTGACACCACTTATTTTTGAGCCCCAATTTATTTCCTTCTTTTATCCTCGCGTCGACCCTTCAAAAGAGAAGCGTCAAAGTGACCTGGGTCCGGTCTAATGTGTTCCTCCTTTTATCAAAAGAAAGACTCATTGTCCGCGTTCGTCCGTAATCTGCATACCCGCCGCACAATAGCCGCTTCTCCTTCTGCTCAATTGGAGAGCAAAAATTGCCATTAATCTGCCATCAAACTTGTTTTCCCTCGCGCGATTTGATCGTTTTGTGTGATTTTTCTTTGCTTTTTCTGACAGCAGCGCGCAGAGAATTTGTGTTAAATGAGAGTTTTTGGTTGTGATTGCAGAAATGTCACGAGACTTGTGGGACTATCAGAGGGTTGAAGAGGCACTCAAGGACCGCGGCATGAGATGCGACCCTGTAAATATTGCTTTGCTCCGTCTCTGCCTCAAATACGTTTCCAAAAACGAATGCAACGATATGCTAGACGAAGGTGAGTTGATAAAAAAAAATTAAATTTAAAAAATCGCATTTTAACAAGCAGAACAATAACCGACATTAATTTATTTTCAAAAAATAAAATTATGAGAGATATTTCGTTTAACTTCATTCTATAGGGTTTTGATGATCATAAAATATTTAAAAAATAATTTCGATGAATGATAATTTTTTTTAATATATTCTGCTATTTTATTATAAATGTCGTTTAACTTTCATAATATACAAGCATTTTAAAAGTGATTTTTTTCTTGTTCTTAATTAAAGAAAATAAAAATTTATCATAATTAGCAGAAGAATCATTTAACATTCTTTAATTAAGTTTTGCTCCGTTTCTTGAGACATATTATTATTATTATTACAACAAAAAATACGAGCATTGCCTCCCAAAATTTAAATTGGAAAGAAGTTAATAAAATAAGTTCTAAAAAATACATAATGTCAACTTATCAATTGCAAAAAAGCACTGGTATTTGCAAATATTTATTTGGCATGGGTGCACCTTTCTTTCTCACCGTCGGAGCGTGGGTGGTGGACATGATGCATTTTCCCATCAGCAGCAACACAATCTGATTGGCAATCCCGTTTGAAAAATAGTTGCAAAGCGAAGCCAACTTTCTGGTGCTTAGCATTCTAATATTTTTTGTTTCCAAATGGAAAAATTATCCCGTTGAATTGAGTTTTTTTTTACATTTATTAGCTATAATTATTGTGTAAAACAGTAATGGTTTCTCAAGATAATTATTACTCACGAGCTTGAAGAATGAGGCAAAAATTCTATTAATTTAATTTCTCCCACGCCGAGAGAAGAAGCGATATAGGAAAAATGTTTTGCAATCTCGGCGTGTAATCGCGCATAATTTAACGTCGATCTGCTAAGATTATGTCCAATCAATGTTTTATGAAGAATGGCGCACACACGCGATCCGCGCTTTTTTCCCGCAAAACAAAGAAAATTTCTTAATCTCGCAGTTCGATTAACGCTTATTATTAAAGGTCGTAAATGTGTACTCAAGGTGTGCATAATTGAAGCCATATTATTGCAATAATAAAATCGAACAACGAAATTACTTCGTGACATCGATCGAGAAATAATAAACCGATTTAGCGCAATTACAACTTTGCTTTTCTCTTCTCCGTATTTAAAATTGAATCAACTTTTGCTGTCGATAATTAATAATCGCGGCGCGGCGAGTCCAATTAATTCGATCACGGTGACACACAAAGTTAAAGACAAGCGGCCGGCCTTGAATTATATTTCTTTGTCACCTGACGAATGGACCGGCCGGAGCCGAGTGGTGTTGCAATGCGGCGTTTTTACTTTTTTCCTCGCTCTCGCTCAAAGTGTATTGACAGTCGCGATGCAGCAAACCGACTCCTGCGCTCAATGAACCACTCCAAAAGATTGACTTTAATTTTGTAAATTTTTTAATATAAAATTGTGGACGGCCTGCTCAATTTTAAATTGCACACTAAGACTTGCATTATTGAGTGGATGCAAAAAATTTAATTGTTATTTATTCTCACTTGCCTTAAAATTTCTTGCAAAAATTCAGATCAATATCTGAAAAATTGGTTTCATTAAAGAAGAAAAATAATTTAAAAAAAATGTAAAAATACAGAAAAACCATTCCAAAACAAAAACATCACATTCTGTCAATTTTTAGAAGATAATATCTTTCAATGAAAAGTATTTGGTATTTTGGATGTAACAACTCAATGTGTTTTTAAGATGGAATTTTTTATAATATGATATAAATTGGAAAACATAAGATTGTAATAAATAAACTAAACTGCTTTAAATTAGTTTGTTTAGAGAATACTTTGCCCGTGATGCATGAAACTGTCGACTGTTTAATTTTGTCTTCAGTCACGTCCGGTGGGTTCAAAGAAATAAATAAATTAGAAACGCAATTGGGCGCGACGTGTGGCGAAGCTGCCTAGAAAATTGAACAAGGTGTGTGTCTCGGCCGGCGCACAATTTTCATTAGCGACATTGGCTCATCAGCCAAGTTGATCCGCGTCCAGCCACACAGAGCCTATTTGCTCCGCAAGTACTCGCTGGTGCAACAGAATCGGGGTTTTATTTAAAAATAATCGGCCGCTTGGCGCGCCAAGAGAGTGCGCGACGTTTTGGTTTTATTTATATGCTGCGGAGCCACCACTTTTTACAGCTGAATGAGCATCATTTTGATCACAATGAACGCCGAACAGCAGAGAAAAAAGCAAAGAGAAGAAGAATGCGTGAATCATGATCTTATTTCTTTCACAACGGGAATTATAAATAGATTTTTTCTTTCACTAATACTTAGAATTTAATTATAAAAAGACTTTGCGGACAAAAATTAAACGAAATCAAATTTTTTTTGTGTGGAATGAATTTTTTAATTTCTTTTTAACCTGTGTAAAGCTTTATTTTTTAATTAATTGAGTTATTTGGATATTGGATAATAAGTCATGATAAAATATTTTGAAAATATAAATGAAAAAAAGAAATAGTTGAAATAATGTTTGAAATCAAAATTATTTATATTTTAACCACATACTTGGTCTGAAGTTTTGGATTTTGCCTGCATATTTTAAAAAATTCCAAGTAAAAACGTATTTAAAGAAACATTTTATTATTGCTGTTGTTTATTTGTCCAAATTGTTACATCACATTGCTTACATTCGATTGTTGGAAACAATTCATTAAAAAAAGGAATTGTTGAACAAAACTGCACCACCACTAGCGAGAATTTTGCTAATTTTCAAGATCAAAAACAAACCATCCGCCACAGTGAGCCTAGGTTGACTTGGTTTTTGCTATTTATTCAAATTAAATCAAGTTGGGTCACTCAACTTTTTTACAATTGGAGAAAGTATAAAAATTAAAAGTTTATACAAGGGGAAATTAAAACCTTCCTCGTGTGTTAAAAAAATGCAGAATGCAGAATTAATGTTTTTCTCTTTTACATTTTTGCTGGCATTATTCGTATATATTTCCCACGTTCTCCGTAGACAAAACAAGTGTGAAGAACGGAACTTGATGAACCGTGCAAGCGAAGTCCATAAAGCAGATCGTATAACCAGCGTGTGGTGCTGAGAATCGGCAGGTCCATTAAATTATCGCCAGCTTAGCCCTTTTTATTGGCTCGAGTGCGTTCGTGGCACAAAAGTGGCAATTCGCCAGCTCGTCTCGGGCTTATCGCGAGCGTTTTGTCTCAAGGTCGCGGCCACACCCTCGCCCGAAAAACGTTTTTCGCTCAATCGATGGCATGCGTTTTGGCAGGATGCGGCTCCAAACATTGTATCAATCTCGGCGTAGCAATTGCAACAAATCAATAAAATAGTAAGTTGATTTAGTTCTTCGCAGTTGACTCGAGAAATTATTTATGCGACCGAGCGAGTGCAGCGCGTCTGGGATGGGCGGTGCGCGCGAGGAAAAACGTTCTGCCGGCAATTTGAGAGCGCGGAGAACACGAAGGCATATAATCAAATAATGAGCGCCGGCGATGTTGTATTTTATATTAAAGTAGACATTAAGATAATCATCGCTGGTACTTAAAAAGTCGTAAATAATACTCCTTTGTAAGCACAGCGCTGCTCCCAAGCACCAGAAAGAATCTCCTCCCTACCCTACCTGAACGTTTAAAAATTTCGGAAATTCACATTTTTAATATTAAGAATATTATGTAAGGTTTTAAGATTCTAATAACCCGAATAATTATAGACCTTAACCGAAAAAATCAATCAATAAGTTTCTTCTGCTGTAATTGAAAAATTAAGATGGTCAAAGGTCAAAGGGGTAAATTTTGTGGCTTAATCATTGTTGTCGGATTGACTGTGTTAATTTAATTTTTTGTCAGAATTATTACAGGAAAGCAGTTTAGTTTGTTTTAATTTATTTATACAATAAAAGCTCTCCTTATTATTGAAAATAAAATTAATAATTAAAATTTGAATTAATCCATTTTTGTTTCATTTTGCTCGGGTTCATGAAAATGTTAATTTTCTACCATCAACTATGAGAAAAATTGCCTCTTCTTCACAAATTTGAGTTAAGATATGTAAAATTTTGGTTATTATTTTAATTTTCATGTATTTATTCTTTCAAAAAGTTGAAGTTCACTAAAAAAAAATGTAATATATAATTTTTTGGTCTCTTATTTTGTTTCAGCAAGCGAACTATTGAAGGAGATGCAAAACGGTTCGGTCCACAACCATGCTCGAGCGACTTCGGTGCTGGTTCAGGCGCCACCACAGCCACCCGAAGTTGCGCCCTACCCTTTTATACCATCAGCCATGCACCCCATGTACCTGCCGCGGATGGTGCCTCCTCCGTACCATCACAGCGCTGATATGCCCGCTTTCAACTACGACCACATCGCCAATATCTGGAACAGCATAAATGTGCCAGTAGCTTTGCAGGAAGCGTTTGACCTCAGAACTCGGAACGGCCAAGCGCCGAAAATAACGCCACGCAGGTCACCTGAGCATCCTGAGGTTAGTGAAGTTATGCTATTTTTTGTTAAAAAAAAAAATGAAAAACTCTGAAACATACATGATAAAAAATATAATTTTTTTTAACTTATTAGAGACCATAGAAAATATAATTATATAAATTAAGTCTAATTTATAAGTGGAAAAATCTATTTAATTCACTCATGGATTTTGCAAATTATGAGTCATTCATATGAGAAATAAGCGAGGCTGGTAAAGAAAAAAAATTAAATTGAATGGTAACACTTGAGGTGGATTTCTTAAAAAAAAAAATTGAAACCGGGCAAGCCTCGTTGCAAAGAAAAAATGAAAAAACAAAAATGGAAAAATTTAAATTTTTTCTCTGAAACGAGGTTTGCCCGGTTTCAATTAAAAAAAATTAATTTTTTTTTTATTAGAGAATCGACTTTTAAATATTTTTTTCTAGTACTTTAAAGAAAAAATTAATTAAAAACGAAGGGTTGAAGTGATTACAAGTAACAAGTCCTTTTTCAGTGCAATTAAGAATCTCGAGGAACATTATGATATGACATAAGTTGGTGTTTTCCATAATGTTGAACATATTATAAAAAAAATTTTTCTTACAAATATAACAATTTTAATGAAATAAAATTCAAGACAATTTATCGCAAGCAGAAATTTAGCCCCAAAAGTCACAATACATTTTTGAAGCCTGCTCACCAGAAATTACAGCAAAACCCCCATTTTTTCAAGTTATCGTGTATAATTTTCAATTGAAACTTGACAATTTGACCTTGAGTGTAATCATTTTGATTCAATCTGCGCAAGGGTAATGTTGCCGCCCATTCAAACGCGGTGTGTCTCTCTCTCTCACGGTGCCAAGCAAAACGGACAAGCACGTCGGCCGACACGTGGGAAGAATCAATCCATCAAAGACACACAAGATGTTGGTCCGCGACGCTCGCGGGGATCACGCCGAGTCGTTTATCAAAGGCACAAGAAAACGACGAGCGAGTCGCGAAGGTGATGAAATCTGCGCCCGGTCGTGACTTTCAGTGAAAGTGCGGCTGCTGCCCAAGTAATTCCACTTTAACCCAGGTCAAAGCTAATAATTCACGAACGCTGCGGCGGCAAAATCAGTTATATAAATAAATAATAAACAAAGATTGTTTTTTAAGAGGATGGGAACAATAATTTTATATAGCACGCTTTTAGCTCGTGAGCTAATTGCAGGCGCGATCTGGACGTAAGAGTTATTACATTGATTTTATTTTTTTTTTAATTTTTGCCCGAGATAAGTTGTAATTATTAATTACACAGCAGTTTATCGTGTTTTAAACGTTGTATTCTCCCGAGGCTGTGCGATTGCACCGTGATAATATATCGAGAGGTGTTTAGCCGTTTGATTTATTAATTATAATCATTGCTCTCGTTGCTTGAAAAGAGAAACCTTTCGAGGTTTAAACCTGATACAAATTCAACACGTACTTTTGTGGGATTAGAATGAGAAAAGCCTCAGACCGATTCTTATTTTTTCACTACTCAAAACTAGAATTGGAAAAAAAACAATGTGGATAGTTTGTTTAAGTGCCGAACATGAGAGTTGCTTTAATACCATAATAGCCGACGAAAAAAGCAAACAAGTTATTCTGGCCGGGTAACTGGAGTGCAGGAATGTAAATCAATATTGCAAGTTATTATTTTTGAAAATATAATGAAATTAACGACCGCATGCAGGCCGGTGAAATCTTAATATCGTCGGTGCGGTCTGCGCACTTGTAGGCGTGGCGGCCGAGATTTCTTTCCAAGTGAGGACCGCATTCATGAAATGTTGCTCCAGGGTCGAGATGAAAAGAATCCCGAGAGTTGATTCCGATTTCAATCTATACGTTGGAGAGCAATTTAAATTAAGCAGAAAAACGATAAACAATTGAAGGTTGTAGGATAAGTTTGGTCCGATGTGTTATTAAATTTAAAATGCAGAAAAAAGTAATGGGCGTGGGGCGAAAGAAAATTTACATGATAATAATGAAAGAAGTATTTTCGTATCGATGAAAATTCTGTTTAAAAATTCGCGATTAATTTTTATAACCAGAAACATACAGTAAAATTCAAATTCTTTTCTCAGATTCTTGCGATATTCTAAAAATTTGATTTAAAATTATCATTAATATTGTAAAAAATAAATAATATTAAAAAGACACTTTAATTGAAATTCAGTCTGCCTCCGAATCAGACAATGTTGAACGGCGTCCCCACATTTTATTTAAAATCAAGCAATTTTCCAATCCGCAAAACCACACCTTGGCGAGGTGCTGCTGCTGCGAGGGATAAGTTGGAGCGGCTGGCGGGTTATTCGAAGGTGTCAACGCTGCGGTTGCTGGGGCGACAACGATATCTCTCACGCGAACATGTAATGTACCGAGTCGCCGCTTTATTGTTGCAACACACACCGGCGGCTTCAAGATCGCGGTGAAATATTTTATTAAATGCATATCCGAGAGTTTCCAAATCAATTGCTCGCCGTGCAAACACAATTTGCCCGAGCGACCGGTTTGCCAGAGACCGGGCTCTGCGATTATATTGGAATCGTTGATTGCACAGCCCACCGGCATCAAGGGGCGGGCAGCGAAACCATTCTCGGCACGTCGCAAATCATCCCAGCCGTAAAATATATAAAATTTATGTACACGATTTATTTTCGCTCGGCCGCCGCTCTTTTTTTCCTTGGGAAGCCTCTCTGTCAACTCCATTCACTCGTTTTTCCACTCGGAGAGTTATTTTTTAATTAGCAACGCTCCGTGTACTTTACGTCAGCTCGCCTGTAATGAGCGCAGAGAGATAAGAGAGCAAAAAGCCTCTGCAACGATTTAATTCTGCAATTACGCAACAGTGTGACAGAAATTGAGCGATCATCATTGATGCAATCGCATCTGCTTAAAGAAATATTTATTCACTTCTTTCTTCAATTTAAAATATAATTAAATTAATTCATTCAGGTCCGATTTTATTCCCATGCTCATAAATGTAGAAAAAATTCTTAAAACATTTATTCTTTCAATTAACCAATCAAATTAAATTTTCCTTTCTGTGACAATGATCAAATTGATCCTAGATAAAAGGTAGGCAACCTGCACGACATAGACGATATGCCGGCTGCTGGGCCGATCAAAAAAAAAATCAGGAGTCAACAACTCCGGCCGTGTTTTTGTTTAAAATTAATTTTAATAAATATATTCTCAAATAAATTCAAAAGTGGTAAGCAATTTGGTTTAATTGAGTCTGGTCGTTTCGCAACACAAAAAGTAAGTTGGCGCGGTTGTTAAATTAATTTCCCCATGAAATACACAAATTACACTTAATGCATCGCACCTCGAAGGATGCGGCGGAGCGACTCGATCGCCTTGATTATACACACACACTCTTCTTCTTCTTCTTCTCGCTGGGCTGTAACGCGAATCCCCATAACTCAGCCGGCGTGATTGGAGGCTGCGTCGGCCGCGGCCGGTAATTGCTTCTTGATTGCCAGATTTATTGCCCGCGCAGGTAAAATACGTCGGCGCGGCCACAAAAGCCCCCGGTCGGTCGCGGGGACGAGCGGCGACGGTAGCGCGAATTCTCGCGCGGTCGTTCATCAAAACTGCGTGCAAAGAGAATAATTTATCCGGCGGTTACGTGTGTGGCGCGGACAATTTGTTACAAAAGCCTGCACGGGATGTTCGTTCTCTCGTATGTAATAATGAATGCACTTCTTGCTCTCGCAAAAAAGAAGAAGAAGAAATAAACGCGCCTGAGAGATGCCGGCACTGATTGCATACATGTGTTGCACGCCTTACAAAGTTTGTTCCATCGAGAGATATATTTAACTTATCAAGCCTATTCGACTTTGCTTCTCCGCACTCGACGACATTGAGCAATATTATTACAAATAATCGCGCGCTTTGAGAAAAAGAGAGAGAAATAATACCAACGCCCCGGCAAACAGCGATGATCAATCATCTGAGACGTTGACTCTTTCTATATGTCTCATTGTAAGGTTTTTTGCTTTGGTCTCATTAAGTGCACTGAGAATAACAAACCAGCAGTCGAGAAATGTTCAGTGCGATTTCAATCCGTTATTAATCTTGTTACTTAAAGTAACGAGCTATGCTCATGAGCAATTCAAAGGCTAATCTCCGTCCACAAGTTAGACAAGTTAGACACATTTACTGTTTCTTTGAATTTATTTATAAATAAAACAGTTGTCGTTGGGAGGAAATTAGAAAAGTTTTGGTTAAAAAAAAAATTAAAAACTCTTAATTTAATTCCATTTGTTGCATTTTAACCAAAATCATTCATTAAACTTTATATTGACAAAAAATGAGAAATAAAAAATAAATAAATAATATGAATTTAATAGTAAATAAATAAATTTAGTAATCTTACATGATTTTTATGATTGAATTTTATATAATGTTTAAAATGAGCTTTAAACCTTTTTAAATTTACTTATAAAAAGTGCAATTTACTGAAAACAATTTTAAGCCTTAAAGAATCATTTCGGAACACTTAAATTTAATTTTATTTTAGTACAAAATTATTTGATCGCCAGTTTTTGTCAATTCTAAAATTATTCAGTCAATTTCTGGATACCTTACGATTACTTAATTTAAATTGAAGCAACTTGAGTGGATTGTAACATGCGGGGGCTTTAGCCAGAATCATTTCAACACTTCCAATTTCTGCATCGGAGCTCACTCTCGTTATAAGTGAAAAATGTCACCTGCTTAGCATTCGACACGCTTGCTTTTCTCAGCATTTTTATTCATTTCATTTTTCAGCTCCGAATGTGCAGTGTCGATTCTCACAAAGGTGTGTAAATTGCTTTCCGATGGAGCGATACGCGCGCGGTTAATGCATAAACTGGCAGTAAACCAGCTTCGAAGGGACGGGATAAAAAAGGCATTAATTTTTTCCACAAACCTGCTGGCGATTTCAACAGCATTATTATAATCTATTCAGATCATAATTCATCCTGCTCGGCCGGCCGCCGTATTATGTAT